GCCTTGTCCTGGGTTCACAGTTTCACACGATATAGAATTAAGTCATTTCCTTTAGATTCTTGAAGCTATTGTTTGGACCCTTTCCTTAGCCTGTGACAAGCTAGGTCCGCTTGGTCTGATGTGTCACAATGCTTTGGGCAACTATTTTTAATTCATTAGATGGGGATTCGAGTGGTTTATAATCTCATGAAATCTTTAAAAGTATGCCTACATTTAAATGTAAATTTTATTAAAGTTAAAAATCATTAATATCCATAGCTGCTAATCAATATATATATATATATATGTATATATGGAAAAATAGGGATCAATCTTTATTTGTGGTGCACACGATTGATGGTGGGGCGGTGTGCATGCGAAGCCAGCACTCTAGGGCTGAGCTACACCTGTAGCTCAAGTATCTAAGTGGGTTTGCTTTCAGGTGGCGTCTTCTGATCTAGAAATGTATACCCTTCAGTTCTAGAAAGAAACTGTATGAATTTGTTAAAACATAACTTCTTAAGGTCCCTTGTTTGGGTGTCAAGACTAATTCTGAATTTATTTAGTAATGTTTACTTCCTTTTTCTTTGTCTTCTTGCTCTAATATCCATAATATTCTCCTAACTTCCACTCCCAGATAGCCTATTGAGATTCTAAATTTGGGCTCTTAATTCCTTGATGCTTCATTGGGCATCATTGGGAGGAGGTGGGCAGTGGGATGGGGCCTTGGTGGAGGAAGTAGGTCATCTCTGGAACTTGCCATGGAAGGATACATCTTCTTCCCTCCTTGTTCTCTGTTCTTCCTGGCTGCTAATAAGGTGAGCAGCTCTGACACCAAGCCGTCTCTGCTGAAGTGCTGTATCTTGCTCTGAGCCCACAGCAAAGGAGTCAGCTGACACCCCCTAGTCTGTGAGGCAAAATAAATCTTCCTTTCCATAAACGGAGTTTCTCAATTTAAGAATTTCTCAGTAACAGAAGGTCTGACTAACTGCAGACAGAAATCTGAGCATCAAAGCTCATGGATGGATTTTGTTGTTGTTATTGTTTTCCTTTCCTTTCCTTTTATATTCTTTCTTTCTTCCTTCCTTCCTTCCTTTCTTCCTGCCTTCCTTTCTTTCTTTCTGTTTATTGTTTCTCAAGAGAGGGTTTCTCTGCAACTTTGGAGCCTGTCCTGGAACTAGCTCTTGTAGACCAGGCTGGCCTCAAACTCACAGAAATTGACCTGCCTTTGCCTCCTGAGTGCTAGAATTAAAGGCTTGAGCTACCACCGCCTGGCTCACAGATAAATTTTTAATACCCAGTGATTAGATAGAGGATATTATGTAAAGACTGGTATCAGATGGCTGCCTTCAGTCATGACTCCCCAGAAGCTGGGAGAAAGGTCTAGAAAGCCTTCTTTAGCGCCTCTGTCGACACTCTGATTTTGGAATTCTAGCTTCTGTGAAAAAACCCCCAACTGTTCTGTGGTCTTTGCCTTTCAGCCTGGGCATCTTGTACCTGCTGCACTCAGCACTGGTAGGTGCATGATGGGGAATGGTGATCAGGGAACAGTAATCCTCGCGGGATTAAAAGAACTAGATTCAAATGGGACTCAGAAATAATACCAGATGGAAAACTGAAGAGAGTATGCATATGAAAACCTTTTAAAGGGCTTCTCTGCCTCGCTCCCTTCCTTTCTCCTTTGTCTCTTTCTTTTATAAAAATCCTATACTTCATCTTAGTTATAGCAATATAATTTACATATTAAGTAACATTGCTAATGGAATCATTTGACACAGTTTTCAAAGAAGAAAAAAAGGAGAAGTGTCAGGTTATAAGTCAGGCGATAAAACCCTTCCAGTGTTTTCTCGTCTGGTCGTTGCAACAAATGCATTCAGTGACATAACGTCTCACTCCTAGTGCGCTGAGGGTCAGAGGGCTATAAAGAAGCCTTAGCCCTCCCCTGCACTGCCTCGGAGGAGAAACACATGTGGGATTCTTTCAAACTGCAAAATGATTCTTGCTACTTCAATGCATTGAATGTTGAATTCGCAGATCCACTGTAAGGCAGGGGAGGGCCCTACACCCCATCCTTCCTCATTACCTACTAGGACCCTCTCTTGGTCTCTTTCATTTCTGATTTTTTTGTCACCTTACATAACATTATATTTTCCTTGCACAGCCATTCCCCTACACATTTCATTTTTTCTTTCCAGCTGACCAGTATTCCATCATATACACGTGGCACATTTTCACCATCCCTCCTTCTGCTAATGTGCCTCTAGACTGCTTTTGTTTCTTTATTATTGCAAACAGAGGAGCAGTGGACATGGGCGTGGGCTCATCTCTGTGGCAGGACTCAGTCCTTTGTGGATACCCAGGCGTGAGATAACTGGGCCATAATAGTAGTTCCGCTCTTAATACTTTGAGGAACCTCCAAACTGACTGCCATGATGTCTATGATGGCTCTCACTCCCACAGTGGTGGATAAGGGACCTTCTATCCTGCATCTTTCCAGCATCCGTCAGATTGCCTGGGAACAGTCATTCCGAACAAGATGAGGTGACGTCTCAAAGTTGTTTGAATGTGCATTTCTCTCATAAGTAAGGACACTAAACACTTAAAAAAATAGTTATTGGCCGTCTGTGCTTCTCTTGAGAACGTCTGTTCATGTGGCTACATCACTTCCTGACTGGCAGTTTTGTTTCCTGGGTGCTTAAGGTTTGCGTGGCTTGGTGAATTCTGGCTATTATCTCCTGTCTGAAGCATAGCTGGTAAAGGGTTTCTCCCATGGTGTGGGCTGTCTGCCGGTTCTGTTAATAGTTTATGTGCTGTGCAGAAACTTTTTATCTTCATGAAGTCCTCCTGTATACTAACAATGAACTCTAGGAGGAGGAAATTAGGAAAAACTGGATTCCACTACAGCACAATGAAATTAGGTCCTTAACTCTTACCATGCACAAACATAAACTCAAGGTGAATTAAACACCTCAAGCTAAAATCCAAAATGCTGAAATTGCAATAGGAAAACAGAGGAGAGGGAACACTTTTCAAGATATTGGGGTTGGCAAGAACTTCTGAACAGAGCCCTCCAGTGACCAAGGAACTAGTAAAAGAATCACCAGATAGGACTAATGCAATTTAAAAGTTTTTTTTTTCTTTTTGAGACAGCATCTCAATGTGGCCAAAGATGACACTGACCTGGTCTTCCTGCTTCTGCCTCTTACATGCTGAGATTACACGTCCAATTGAAGCCATTTTCCCATGAGTTTTGGAGGAAAATAGGGCAGAAGGTGGAGAATCAAATGACTTAAAAGTTTGATTTTTATTTATTTTTACATCCTATGTGTATGAGTGTTTGCCTGCATGTATGCCTGTACCACATGTGTGCTTGGTGTTCAGAGGCCAGAAAAGGGCATTGGATCCCCTGGAACTGGAGTTACAGACAGCTTTGAGCCTCTCCGTATGTACTGAGAATTGAACCTGGGGCCTCTATAGGAGCAGTCAGTGTTCTTAACTACTAAGTTGTCTCTTCAGCCCACTACAGTTTTCTTTTTTGTTCCTCCCCCCCCCCCCCCACCTTTTTTTCTGGTTCTGTGGTCAATGAAACAAAAACAAACCAACAACAGATGAGGGCAATAGTAAGCTACCATTCCTGAATCTCCCAGCTTGGGCCAGGCATTGGGTAGAGAAGTTATCTTTATTGTATCCAAATTCCCATAGTAACAAGGAAACAACATATTGACCTCATCTTGTAGACGAGGAAGTGGAATCTGCGGGAAAGGGCAAAAAAAGAGGACATACCAACGTGCTATAGCTAGTGAATAGATGTGAAATCATAGTGTATAACCCTAAATCAGTGCTCCGCCAGCAAGTTATTCTGATGTTTTGTCTTTGATTTTGAGCACTTTCAAACCTCTAGAACAGATTACATTAAAGCACAGAAGCACACTGTCAAATGCTCTGTGTATTTGGAGTTGCACACCACGATGCCGAGGAGATAGCTGCCAGGGAGCTTGTGGTTTAAAAGGCACGCAGTGCTGAACCATGACCGAAAGCTTTCACTCCTGAAAAGAGAGTATGAATGGGGGCGGCAGGGCCCGCCAGGATCTGAAGGGAGGAAACGAAGGTGGGTATGATCATAACACATTGTATACATATACCAAATACTCAAAGAACACCATCACTATAAAATAAAGTGGAACACAAACACGGATCCTACAGAAAAAAAGAAAAGCATCAAGCCAGGTTTGTTTGTTTGTTTTTAATTTCCTTAGTCTGATCCTTCTCTTCTATTTGCTTCTAAACTAGTTATTCTTTTTTTTGTGTGTGTATGTGTGTTGTTGTATTTTTTCTTTTTTAATTGACTGGAGTCATTCTTAAGTCACTGTTCCTGACACAAAAGCACATGTGCAGCCTGTGGGACCATTGGCTCAAAGTCCATCACAGTAGTCCCACTCTTGAGCCGGGCGGTGGTGGCGCACACCTTTAATCCCAGCTCTCAGGAGGCAGAGGCAAGCGGATCTCTGTGAGTTCGAGGCCAGCCTGGTCTACAAGAGCTAGTGACAGGACAGGCTCCAAAGCTACACCGAGAAAGCCTGTCTCAAAAAACCAAAACCAAAACAAAATAAAACAACAACAACAGCAACGAAAAACAGTCCCATTCTCTAGAGTCTTCCTGACCAGAGAGGCAGAGCAAGTCCGTCTGGACACTATGGCATATGTGTTTGGTTGGACTAACTTTTGTTTCCTTCTGGGGCTCAGCATGTAAATAGCTTAAGTTCAGTAAATATCTGTTGAACCCTTCTAAATGATTACAAGATTTGGGACACTGGAAGCTAATCTAAATTACGTGTGCAATAATTGGATGCTTTCCATATTTAAATTTTGCTATCGACTGATTTATTACAATGTCATTTTTCAGCTCTCTCAGGAACTGATTTTCTTTTCCATTTTTAACTACTGATCTGCAGTAATACAATATTTTGCACCAATCACATATTGTCCTGTTTATCTAAAATGCCAATCCCTTTAAGGTTTACCTTGTAGCATGACCAAAGACTGTCGAAGCCGACTGTTTTCCTTCCGGATGTTCGTTAGCTTCTCCTTCAGGTTTTTGATTTTGGTACAAAGTTCCTCCTTGGACAGTTCTGCTAAGGGGGTTTCGTCATCACTGGAGCTCTCGCCAGGCAGGAAGGCATTTCCTGAATATGGGTCTCTCTAAAAACAAGACAGTTCCTTTAACAGTCACCCCATGCTCTGTATGCCAAAGCTACCATACCCATGGATGCCCATTCCCACATGCGGTTTCTACAATGTGTGACCCCAGCTTTGTCCTCTGCCTTCCAGAACTCAGGAAATGATGGGAAAAATGTTCATGATCATCTTCAAGTAGAAGCCAGGATTTTGACTTTCTGCCTAACCAGTGAAAAAAACCAGAAGATTATATAAAGAGGGAGTCATAGCAAGGCCACGGTTCAAACCTGGGCTCCTCTGAGATGGTACCTGCCTTGCGCTAAGTACTTCAAAATCTGACTTATTTTCTTCATCTGGGTTAATATGCCATCACAGGGGGACCAGTCTTTAATGCCAGGACTTTGGTGGTGGAGATGGGAGGTCAGCCTGAGATACAGAGTACAGAGTGAGCTCCAGGCCAGTTTGGGCTGAACAGAAAAGAAACAACCTTGTCTTTTTTTTTTTTTTTAGAGGAAACTTAACAAGCTGACAGCAAATTCTTGCTCTGTATATCAGCTACAGATGATTAGGAACATTTAAAAAAGATGCTACATACTGACGTATTGTAAGGACAGTAGTCACACAAGCATAGGGAGGGGTAATGTACAGGTGTGAGGGTCTCTCAGTGTAAGGGTGACCATATAATTCTCTAGATATATATAGTCATCTTGTAGAAACTCATGGAACCACAGTATTGATATGTGTGTTTTTCTGTATGCATTTTAGACTTCCGTAAAATGTCCTTTTAAAGTCTCCAGTGAGTAAAAGCCAGGAAGGAGCTCATGCTGAGCATGTGAAGACCCTGGGAGTCATCTCCAGGGCTACAAGGAAAAAGTCCGACAAGTACATTATTGTAGAACGCCTTGACTTTTTTCCAGTCTTAGAGTCTAAGTCTTTTACATTTGTGCTTGTATCTTGCTTTGAGCATAGGTGTCATTAATGAATAGCAAAAAAGAACAAACTCTTTATGAGGAAAACAAAATCCATTACTGAAACATGCCCTCGACGTAGAAGGAAAAGTTCAGAGATGAAAGGCCAAAAGTAAAAATACTGATTATCCTCCAGTGGAACTCAGCTAAGTAATGCAATTCCAATGAAAAGGTAAAAATTGACTATAAAGTTTGTAAACACAACAGCCAAGAATATCAAAAGAGTTCTTAAAGATATCAGAAATTGAGACTTCCTCTCCAAATTCAAGGTGTTATTAAAAATTCAGAACAATTCAGTTTGGTGCTGATACAGAGGTAGGCAACCATACCAAGAAATAGAATAGAGTGGTTAAAAAATAGATGTCTGAGACTGAGAACTGTGATGTATGACAGAGCAGGCTGGAAGCTCACCAGGGAAGAGATCTGCTCCACCAAGGATGCTGGAATGCTCGCTCATTTAGCCTTGTAAAAACAGGTAAAGAAATGGAGTTCTGCCTCATTCTAAACACATACGCATGCATTACCACACACACATACACCTTCTCTCTCACACATACACATACACCCATATGTATGTGCTTACATAGGTGTGCACACATACACGCATACTCACACACCCCTTTGTGCAAATCCCTGCAGATGGATTAAGAATTTATATATCAAAAGCAAAATTCAAAAATTGTACAAGAAGCATGAACATATATAAATGTAAATATTTTAAACTTGGAGTGGGCATTTCTTAGACATAAAATCTCTGATTACCATATCAATAAAGGATTTCTATTCATAAGGCACACTAAACAAGAAAAAAGACAGTAAGAACCAATGGAAAATTAGTTATAATACGATGTCTGCAGTATTATTAATCAAAACAGCAACTTAATGGAAAAATGGGCAAATGATATTAAGGGGCATTTTACAGAGTAAAAAAATGTATATGGTTCATCAGTAGACGCAGAGATATTCAATCCCATTGGTGAGCAGAGAAAAGGTCAAAATCACCATCATTTGGGCAAAACCCAGTGAAGCTGACAAATCTGAGCAGAGTAAGCATGGATCATTGAAATTCTCTATATGCTGCTGAAGGAAGAGAACTTGGCACACTACTTTGGAAAGCACTGTAATATTATCTTATGACATTTAAACATTATCTCCCCTGTGCTCTTGCAAATGATGCCCAGATCTGGGTGTGCATACAGGAAAACATGCCCAAGACTTCCAAGTGAAGCAAGATTAATGATGGCGAGAATCTGAAGACAATCCGTGTCTACCGTCAGGACAGAGCACTTGTGCTGGAAACTGGCATCTTGACTCTCCAGACCTAATGTAAAGCAGCAAGAAAATCCAGAAGGTCCTCATGTCCTGGTCAGTGGTTTGGGGGAATTGATAAAAGAGAGCACGTAGTCAGAGACTACACAGTGCCAGGGTCTTGTGGAAGGTAGCCATGGGTGCCAAGCTGCCAAAGTCTGGGGGTAGAGGCAACAGAATCCTCCCAAAAGTCCTCGAAGGGTGGGCCCATCAGGAACACTGATGGATACCTAGGGACCAGTCAGGGACATTGAGAACTTTGGTAGAAGAGATGTGCCCCTCCCCAAATGTTGAGATGACATGCAAACCTTCCCCAAACCTGGATCAATTCTCAATGAAAACAGTGGCATGAGGGAGGGTAAGAATGTAGAGCTGATCGAAGCTTAGATCTTGAAGTGACTCAAATAGTGAAACAACAGCTCAACAGGAATCCTCCATGGTGAAAGAGAAGTCTAGGTTTTATTGTTTGACTTGGGTTTGGTTTGATCTTACCAAGCAGGGATAGAGAATTGAAAGCCCGATGAGAACAGTCATGGGAAAATGTCACCAGAGTTTTTTATGATTTCTGCTATGTATATTCAAGTCTCATAAACACATAAATATGTATGTCACAGAGCCAGAGCCCCAAAGAAAAGTTGGTGGAGGAAGAGAGTGCTCACTATGTCTAAGTAGCTATGCTCTCTCACTTCTTCATGGAAACAGGCATTGAGAAGGACACGCAACTCTCAGCTAGAGACTTCATTTCCCAGACTCCTATGTTCCTCACTGTGGTTACACCTAAGTTCCTACATGATCAGAAACAATATGTGCCATTGTTGGTTCACAAACTTAAAGGAATGAAAAGCTTCCTGCCTGAATTTCCTTTTCCTGAAAACATAAGCAGCTGTTAGACACAGACAAAGTTGTGAGCTGAGGAAGATGGATCAACAGTGTGAGAGTCTTCAACACAGTGCAGCTTCCAAGTAATGCTAAATGTCAACATTGGAAAAACGGTCCACAATTCCCCAGGTCAACAGTGTAGACTTTCACTTTGGTTTGCTCAAGAGTCTTGTTGTGTGATCTCTGATGATGGTATCCAGCCCAATGAGATGCTTCGGAGTCAAGGCATACCTTCAAGTATTTTGCATCATAAGGCCTCTTAGTTACTGTTATAAATTGGAGAGAAAAGAAGCTAGCTACAGATGCAATAATAAAAGAAGAGGACTTTCAGGCCGAAGATCTTGGGCCAAATAAGATCTCTGGTTGGAGTGAATTGCAATGGAAACAAACAGAATTATGTAGTATGGAAAACTATTAAGATTTTGAGGACAGCAAAGTGCCAAAGACAGCACCATACTGGCCCCAAGAACATGAGCCTATTTTAGTCCTGAGCAGTTTCAAGCCCACACTAGTAAATTTCAATAAGATAGCTGATGAAAATCAGAAGTGTTGATATTAATACTGATACTGATAATATTAATACTGATAATGATAAGAAAGTATAAATGGAAAAAGGACTATTCACTGCCCCTGGCATGTTGACTATGGGGTGAACCTTCAGAAAACCATCTTATGTGGCAATAAAATTTTGTGAAAATACCTCTTACATTCTACCAAACTGAAGCTTTTGCTGGACCTCACAGTCAGAGTTAATAATATACCTTGAGACCAAAGACCAAAAAAGATTACAGATTAAAGACTAAAGACCCTACTGTCTACTCAGCCTTAAAACAAAACAAAACAAAACATAACTGTGTTTAAGAGAACAATGTAGCAGTCAACCTTACTTGCCTTGGATTTCCCTACCTAACCTAATGCATAGCTGTCATCTTCAATTATCTACTCTTCCATGCCTCTGACCTGGAGAATGCATGTGTATCATTTCCAGAAGGCAGCCAATACAGAGGTAGAAAGCAGCTTTCTAAAATCTACCACAAAGGTTGAAAGGTTACGGATATTGGCTGATAAAAAATGTAGTACTGTTTGTTGTCTGGGTCAGTCGGGATCAGTTGGAGCCAGTAACTTAATCTCTTGTCAAAATCTGTTGAAGATTCCTGTAAAGTATCCCATTTCTTATTTGTGAGATGCTTTCTATGCCGTTCAGTAAAGATAGAGCAAGCCCTTTATCAGGGACAGTCCCACCACAGCCACACCACAGACATACACAGACAGGCACACACAGAGAACACAGTGCCCAAAGACAGGACAGACAGACACAGGGATAGATCAACATGACAGCCTTCAGGCTCAGACAACATGAAGACATAGGGAGCACGAAGCACAGATTCCAAATCTGGACGTCCTCTTGGTTAAATCACTTGAAGGGGAAGTGCCTTTATTTCTTTTTTCAATGTGACATAAGTGCATTATTGGTGACTTGGAGTTAATCACAAATGAGTTTAATCCAGTCTTATGACGTCTAGGCAAACGAACAGAAACAGACGCACAACTCTAAGCCACAACTCATCCTCCTAGGCATTTCAAACAGAGATCACCGGTAGGGTGTAGTTGTACAAATCAATGGATTTTAGTGGTTCTAGCCCTAAAAAGAAAAAACGAAGATGGATAACTATATAAGCTGATAGCAATGTGAATTTCTTTCTTGACAGAACATGTTTTATGAGTTATATGTATCTCATAATATGAAGTCATATAAAAAATTTTTGGAAAATGCACTGCCTATTGAAAAAATCAGAAGCAAATTAAGACTTAGATAATGATATCCATGTGCCACCAACTGCTATGAAGATAGCATTTTACAGTGCGAACTGCCTGGCAATATGAAGAATGCCGAGAACTACTCCACATGTGATAGCCACCTGGAGGACGGTGCCTTTAGACAGGAGGATAACAGAGCTGGTGAAAAGAAAGGTAGTCTGTCAGTGGGAATATCTTCAAATGGTAAGTAGAAAAGCAAAGTGCAGAGCGGTGTGTGTGGTAAGCTACGTTTTATTGTAGGCAAGAAATGTAGGGAGGCTGCAAAAGCAGTAGTGGGAGGGAGGGGGTATGAACAGAGTGGGTCAGAGACGGGAATACGAGGCAGACACTACTGTGCACTCTCAAAACATTTGTTATGAGAGTGCAATGTTTAAAAATTAACATGGAAATATAACATGCTATATGTGTTACAAAACATGTATAAATGTGTGGTTGTATGAAGACATATAAATCAAAATAGAGAATGAACATGTCAATTAGTTGTCCAAAGTATAGGAAGGGAAAGGAATAAGGAGGGCGACCATGATCTAGGTTCTAAACAGAGAGCAAAGACTATGTCTTAATAAAGAAACCACCAGTTTCCACAAAGCGTCTAGTGAGGAAAAATATTTTCAGACACAGTTTGATGATCTTTTGTTGTATAGAACAGCAAACAGAATTTGAACAATGACATTTGGTCCTGGCTGAAATGAAGTAGGGACAGTGCCTATTGACTGTGTTTCCAACCCAAGCTTTACTTGAGAGAAGCTATATTCTCTCAATTGAATAAAGAATAAACACGAATTACCAGGAAAGGGGAGAAAGTACTGAGAAGCAAGCGTAGGCATTGTAGACTATGCTTGAGCTAGATAAGAAGACTAAACCAAAGCAAGAGAAAACCAACCTGTGCTTTATCCATGGCACTATTTGCATTCTCTGCGTTCGCTGTCTCTGTCCGTTTCCTCTTCCTTTTCCTAAGAACTTGGTTATCGGTAATTTCATCTGTCTGCAAGATCTTCTGCATCTTCTCAGTTAGTCAGCGAAAGCTTTCTGAAACCGTCGAAGGCAGAGACTCCCATATAGGTGCTGCTCTTCTGCATGTAGCCAATGCTTCTCCTTAAAAACAAAAACACAACACATCATGCCGCTGCTTCCGCGTGCTCCCAGTTCAGGCCCCCACAGGATGCTTCCCGACAACTCTGAAGTCCCAGGAAGCAAGGCTGCAGAGCCGAGACTTAGCCTTGACTGTGTGTAGCTGGGGCAGCACATTAGGTCTCACTTCATCTTTACAGTACCTGCTTTAATCGGTTTGTTTTCATAAGTGTTTAATTATAAGTAATAAAACTTTCAAAAGAGATTGTGCATATGGATCTTCATGAAACATGTGGATTATTGAGCAAATGGTAACATTTTGTTTATCGAATTACTGTACTAGCAAATACATTACTCAAAATTTTTATTCACAAAATTCATAATAAACATGGAGTACAACTCCATTGTATTGTTGGCTCTATCTATCTATCTATCTATCTATCAATCTATCTATCTATCTATCTCCGAAAGAGTGGAGTTTTCAAGATAACATTATAGTTGGGCATGGGGGTTCACACCCGTAATGCTAGCATTTCAGAGATGAAGACAGGAGGATCTTGTGTTCAAGGCCAGCCTGGGTGACACAGTGAGATGGGTTAATTTAAGATGTTAAGAGTTAGCTAGAAAGATGCCTAAGCTATTTGGCCAAACAGTATTGTAATTAATATAGTTTCTGTGTGATTATTCGGGTCCAGGCAGCTGGGAAATGAAAGGGCAGTCTATGCCTATATGATATGATTCTATACACTGAGATCCTAAAGACTCCACCATAAAGCTCCTACAGCTGATAAACATCTTCAGCAAGTTGACAGTATACAAAATTATGATACAAAAATCATGGGTGACCCACCCTTTCCTAGACAGCGATGAAAGAGGAGTGGTTTGGAGTGTGAGAACAAAGAGGGGTTGTCGGGGAAGGACTTGGAGGAGAGGAGGGAGGGAAAACTGCAGCTAGGATGTAAAATAAATAAATTTAAAAAGATATTCCCATTAAAAAGTCATGCTGAGGACAAACATACAAAAAAAAAACTGGGAGAAAATCCTATTCTTAATCCAAAACAAAACAACAAAAACAAAACAAGAAAAAAAATCTTGCCTTGGAACAAACTTAAGTAAGAAGTGAAAGACCTCTACAAGTAAACACTTTAAAATCCTGAAATTTTTCTCAATCTCAATCTAACACTAGAAGATGGAGAGACTTCCCATGCTCAGGGATAAGAAGAATCAACATTGGAAAATGGACATTTTATGAAAAGTAATCTACAGATTCAATGCAATCAATCTAGACATCAACTCCACTCTTCACAAAAATAGGAAATTAATCCAAAAATTCCCATGGAAACACAAAGACAATCCATGACCAAAACAATCCTGAAATACAAGAATGCTGTTAGTGGTGCTACTATACTTGATTCCAAGTTATACTACAAACCCATAATAATAGAAACAGCATGGCACCGGTGCAAAACAGACACTTAGATCAATGGCATAGAAAGAGGGGCCAAATATAAGACGATGGAAGCAGAGTTGCCTGCATTTTTATAATGAGGAAAAAAAAGGCACACTGGAGAAGAGATAGCAGAATACTGGTTCTTACCATTCCTTTTGGTTGCCCACCAGAAACAGATGATAAGACTCTATTCTGAAAATTCTACATACCTTGTTCCAAGATGTAGAGAAATCAAGCCAGTGATTAGTTCAGAGCCCCCCCCCACCCCCCGCCCACACTGACTAGCTTCTCTGGTACCTGAAGGAACTACAGAGGGTGCTTAGAGAGAAAAGGCACTGACAGTTTTACCCAGCCTTGAACCCTACAAACTTCAAAGTCCCCCTGTTGGGCTAGATGTGCCATGATTTTTGTTGTTGTTTTGTTTTTCAAGACAGGGTTTCTCTGCAGCTTTGGTTCCTGTCCTGGAACTAGCTCTTGTAGATCAGGCTTGCCTAGAACTCACAGAGATCCACCTGCCTCTGCCTCCCGAGTGCTGGGATTAAAGGTGTGCACCACCACCGCCCGGCCCGAGTGCCATGATTTTTATGGGGGTAGCCAACTATTGTGGAATATTATTTTAAGATGTGTTACATTCGTTCATGCTGTGGAAAACTTGCTAAATGATACAGACATGTGTTGCATTCTTTTATGTTGCATTTGTTTAACTCTGTGAAGTTGTGTTATTTTGCCTGCCTAAATCACCTGATTGGTTTAATAAAGAACTGAACGGCCAATAGCTAGGCAGCAGGGGGACAGGTGGGGCTGCCATGCAGAGAGAATAAATAAGAGGGAAGAAGATTAAGGGGAGGACACCAGCGGCCAGTCAGTCATCCAGCCATGCAACCAGCGATGGCGTAAGAAGGAAAGGAAGAAAGGTATATAGAATAGAGAAAGGTAAAAGCCCAGAGACAAAAGGTAGATGGGTTATTTAAGTTAAGAAAAGCTGTCTAGAAACAAGCCAAGCTAAGGTTAGGCATTTATTTGAAAAAAAAAAAAAGAAAAGAAAACAAAAACCAAACCAACCCCCCAAAACTGCTCTGTTTGGATTTAAGCTGAGGCCCACTCCACTGGAGAATTAATAACGTAATAACATAAATAAACCTTGTCAGAAAGAAACATGGTTGCGGAATTTTATAGGCCTGTGGGGCATATGGGGTCTCATTACTGTTGTTTAATTAAATTGACATGGTACCAAACTAACACTCTAGACACTCAGGTTTATACCCAGCCTTGGTCAGAGAAATTTGTCTTTGCAGTGAATGTCGTGGTGAAGGCAGAGACGCATCACTGAGCTAGTTGCTGAGAACAAGTTATAGTTGAGAGCTGAAACCTAGACATTCCTTTTAACCTACTCCCGTGAAGGCCCTGGGGAAAAGGAAAGAGCGTAAGAGCTGGAAAGTAGAGGCTGTGGAATGCTGTCTTCAGGGCAAAACATAGCCATTGCAAACATGATCTCACAGCATTGGCAGTTGCCTCCCTTGGGCTTGCAGAAGGCTGGAATGGTCAAACGTCAATCACGCACTGGGGATGGCTTCATGGGCCGCCCTTCCCTGCCAAGCTACTGCCTACTGATGGATTCTCTGGGAGGGGTAGTTGTTGTGTGCGTGCTGAGGAGCCCACCAGGCTCAAATAGATAGTTCCAAACATGTGGTCATACGAACAGTCCTGGCTAAAGTCAATGCATCACAAAAGAACCCTCCCCCCCAATCATGAATGTGGAAGAGGGACCTGTAGGGAGGAGTAGGGTTGCCAGGTATGGGAAGGAAGGGGTGAGAGCCATAAGAATCTTATATACATGTATTAAATTGCCAAAGAACAAGTTTACTCTTAAGAAGTGAGGGGAACAAAACATACCCATATTCAAGAAAAAACTCTGAAAATTAAGACAGACACACTGCTGAATTTAGCAACAACTCATAGAAATTTCTTTTCTATGACATCAAGGAACAGAATATAAAAAAGAAATTCATGAAGAATTAAAAACTACTCATTATCAATCACTGCTAGAGTAAAAATGCAAACTGCAGAATACGAAAAAATATTTCCAAATTGTGTCTCTGGCAAGGGATTAATAACCAAAACTTAACACAGAAAACAATTTAATTAAAAAATGGACAACAGACTTAAATAGACATTTCTACACACACACACACACACACACACACACACACACACACACAGCCCACTTATTCTCTCTGCCACGACTGTTTGCTCAAATATATAAGTTAACTCGCCATGGAACGGGTACTCTGAAACCATGAGCTGAAATATATTCTACCTCCATTAAGTTGTTTATCTTAGATACTTGGTCACAGCAACATAAGAGTAGTGAATGCATGGGAATTAGTTCCCAAGATACAAACACAACATGATTTCATTCATACAAAGTACACAGAGCAGGCAAATTTACAAAGACAGAAAGTAGGATGCTGAGTGGAAGGGGTTGGGGAATAAGGGAAGGTTTGGTCTGTGAATTACTGAATGGGTAAAGAATTTGGATTTGACAGTTGGAAGCATTCTGGAGCTGGATAATGACAATAATGGCTATACTATATGAATGTATTTACTATCACTGATTTGTACAGTTACATATTGTAAACATGGCAACCTTTGTCAGCGTGCACATTAATTTTATTTTTATTTTATGTGTATATGTATTTTGTCTGCATATAAGTCTCTACACCACATGCATGCCTGGTGCCCCCATGCACAGAAGAGGGTATTGGATCTCCTGGAACTGGAGTTACAGTTGTGGGGTTCTATGTGGGTGCTGGGAATCAAACCCAGGTCGTCTTCAAGAGCAGCCCGTGCTCTTAACTTCTGAGCCATCTCTCCAGTCCTGTCAAAGTGCATTTATCACAACATAAGTGAAACAATTTACCATGCAAGAACACAGTTTTTGCATTATCCTATGGCCACTATTGTAGAGTCTGAACTAGAAAACAATAGAGGAATAATGCCAGGGAGTTAAGGTGAAGAAGAACTCATTAGCAGATGCCTGAAAACAGGATTCTTAAATTCTCTCCCAAAACCATAGCCTGAACATAGGTCACCACAGCTTCACACACACAGGAAATCTACCCAAGACATCTGTCCAGCTGCTGCCTCCTTAGTCTTTGGCTGGCACAACCATTGTTATTGAGCGTTGCAATCACAGATTATTGTTTCAAGCTATCCCACACAAGCCTTTTAGAAACTTCCCCTTTGGTGCAAGCTCCTTGAACACGCGTGGCGTGTGTATTCCCACGGCAGTGCTATTCTATTCCCTACAAAACTTAACGACTCCTCAGAGAGCTGTTATTACTTAGCTGATCAAATTAAACCAAAGCCACATAATACCCGCGACATATGGTTGTATGAATAACATAAGCCAGGCACTTTCATTTTTTTTTTTTTTTACTGCAAGTTATAGAAAAATACATGTGGGACTGAATTCAGCCAGTGGAGTTCCAGGGAGCAGTGAAGAAGGAGGGAAGACGGTGAATTGGGAGAACTTATCTCTAGGGCCCTGATCTATGGAGTCTCTTTACATTTTCAGAGTATTCCCGTGTCTATGATCTCTCCCAGCAATAACTTTAGTCCAGAGCTGGCATCATTTCCACAGTGACCAGCCCTGTGGGACACCACTGTCCTCATGTTTCTTTGTCTTTAGTTGTCAATGTCTCAAAGACTTGTCTATATCGAAACTTTCTAATTTTAGCGAACTGGTATGACATGGGAGGGTTCTTTCACCTTCTGGCTGCCTGGGTGTCTATTTACCAGTTATCAGATCCCTTCTGCTGTTGGTACTCTATGTGTGGACATCTGCTATCAACAATGAGCCTTGGCCAACAATATTTGTTTACTGCAGCACCATTGCTGTATTAAATAAGGATAGTGTGGTGGTTTGAAAGAAAATGGACCCCATAGAGTGGCTATGAGGAGGTGTGGCCTTGTTGGAGGAAGTGTGTTACTATAGGGGATAGGTTTTGAGGTCAACTATTCTCATGCTATCCCCAGTGTGACACAGAATTCACTTCCTGTTACCTGAGGATCAAGATGTAGAGCACTCAGCTAACTCTCCATCACCATGTCTGCCTGTATTCTGCCATGTTTCCCCACCATGAAGATGATGGATGAAAGCTCTTAACTGTAAGCCAACACCAGTGAAATGTGTTCCTTTATAAGAGTTGCCATGGTTGCTGGCCAGTGGTACTGTACACCTTTAATTCCAGGACTCAGGAAGGAGAGGCAGGCAGATCTCTTTGAGTTTGAGACTAGCCTGATCTACAAAGCAAGTTCCATGACAACCAGGGCTACAGAGAGAAATCCTGTCTTGAAAAACAAAACAAACAAGCAAACAAACAAAAAAAAAAAGTTGCCATGCTCATGGTGTCTGTTCACAGCAATATAAACCCTAACTAAGACAGAAGTTGGTACCAGAGCCTGGGGTAGTGCTGTGATAGGCCAGACCATGTTTTTTATTTGGAGGAATATGGACTTTGGGACTATGAATTAGAAAAGTAGTTGAATGATTAAAGAATGGCTTAATGGGACATCCTAGTAGTAACATGAAAGACGGTAGTGCTGAGGGTGGGGGCCTGATTCAAGAGGGTTCAGAGGAGGTAGACTTTAGTATGCAGCCTAGAGACCAGACTTGTGATATTTTGGTGAAGAATGTGGCTGCTTTTTTGCCACTGTCTGAAAAGTATGCCTGAGGCTAAAATGAAGAGCTTTAGAATAATTTTGTTGGCTGAGGAAATCTTAAAACAGCTTAGTATTGACTCGATCATGAAGTTTCTAGAGTTAACTCTAATGAAGATTTATAATGAAAAGAAGTACTGAGCAAGGAAAATAGAAAATGTACAATTTGAGGAGAAAAGGAGCACCAGGAAATGGAAGGGAACCAAATCCTGAGTTTAAGGTGGTAAAAAGGTAAGAAATATAATAAAGGGAGTCGTGACCTCAGGGCAAGATTATGCCCAGTTAAACTCTGGTAGTGAAAAGGGATTAAAGAAAAGCTCAGAGTCTGGGGTGGTGGTACATGCCTTCATACTCCAGAGGTGGAGGCAGAGGCAGAGGCAGACAGAACTCTCTGTTTGGGGCCAACCTGGTCTACAGACAAGTTCCAGAACAGTTAAGCTTAGATAGTAAAGGTAACCACTGGAAACAGAAAGCTGGGGAAAAATGAGGTGGCCATGATCCAGTCCCAGCAAGCAACAGAACTTGGCAACTTCAGCCATGTGGTTCCGGTTTTAGAGTCAAGGATAGAAGAAAGGAGTTATGGAATCTTCCTCTGTGACTAAAGAAAGCCACTGAGGCCAGGACTGTGTCAGGGGTGTCCCTAAATGGAGGCCTAGAGAGGCCATTGCAAGAAGCTGTGAAAGTGAAGCCTGGGTTGCCTTGGGGACCCCAAGATGTTGAAGATGCAGGAGTCGTGGGATGCATACCAAAGGAAGCTGATAACAGGGAGTGGAAGCAGCCCAAGGGAAAGAAGTGTGTTGCAATCAACACAGCTGAAAGGAGTTGGAGATCTGGAGTGTTTTGACATCTGTCTTAGTCAGGGTTTCCATTGCTGCAAAGAGACACCATGACCTCAGCAACTCTTATAAGAAAAACATTCAATTGGGGTGGCTTGCTTACAGTTTCAGAGGTGCAGTCCATTATCATCATGACCAGGAGCATGGTGGCATGCAGGCGGACTTGTGTTGGCTACATCTTAATCAGAAGACAATAGGAAGTATCTGTGACACTGAGAGAAGGTTAAGCAAAAGAGACTTCAAGGCCCACTGCCACAGTGACACACTTCCTTCAACAAGGCCACACCTACTTCAACAAGGCCACACCTTCTTCAACAAGGCCACACCTCCCAATAGAGACACTCCTTATAAGCTTATGGAGGCCAATTCCATTCAAACTACCACAGTATCAGACATGGAGATATAGAGATTAGTTTGCCTAGCTGGTTTTTGGTTTTGCTTTGGTTCAGTATTTCCTTACTATGTTCCTTTCCCTATGTTTTGGAATGGTAATGTATATCCTGTGCCATTATATGTTGGAAGTATGTGGTCTGCTTTTTGATTTTATAGGATTACAGTTAAGAGGTTGCATGAATCTCAGGAGAGACTTTGAACTTTAGACTTTTAAATAAGTTTGAGACTGTTATAGAGCATGGGGACTTTTGAAGTTGTACGGGATGCATTTTTGCATTATGATATGGCTACCTATGGGGCCCAGGGAGTGAAATGTGGTCGTTTGAAAGAAAGTGGGCCCCAGGAGTAGTACTTTTAGGAGGTATGGCCTTGTTAGAGTAAGTGTGACCTTGTTGGAGGAAGTGTGTCACTGTGTGTGAGCGTGGGGGGTGGGGATCAAGGTCTCCAATGCTGAAATTGTACCCAGTGTGACACACAGTTCATTCCTGTTGCTTGCGGAACAAGATATAGAACTCTCAGCTATCTCTCCAGAACCATGTCTGCCTAATTGCTGCCTTGCTTCCCACCATGAAAATAATGAACTAAATCTCAGAACTGTAAGCCAGTCCCAATGAAATGTTTTCTTTTATGAGAGTTACTGTGGTCATGGTGTCTCTTCACAGAAACAGAAACCGTAAGTATTTCTGGTTTCCACGGTCTGGCATGACCCGGCTGGAGAACTAAGAGAAATAAATACTAAACGATCTGTGTTTGTCTTCTTTACACAGTGTGGCTGGATTCAAGGAGATTTCTACAAGCTGATACGGATGCCATAGAAACCAAAGGCTAGGAACAAAGGAAAGTCTCTTAACTGCTCCCTAATGGCATCCTTCCCATCCGTCGTCAACAAAAAGTCAGGAGCTGTGCAAGCAACTCAGAAGGACCTGAGTAAAGTTTTCTGTGGTTTCAAGGCCTCTAAAACATTTTCTAAGAAATGCCAGATTTTGTAGTGATTTTATCCCTGGCTTTTCTTCCCTTACTACTCGTCCACCTGATACTAAGTGCTGCACCCCCTCCATTCATCAAAAACAAAGATGTAGAGTTGAGCCTAAGGAGAGGAAAGGCATACTTACAAGCCATGTCCTCTACTTCATATTTCTTTTTATTATGTAGAACATTTTATTCATCTTGAAAATTCAGAGTAAGGTATGATCATTATGTTTTTTTTTAAGTAAGAGTATTCTACAACTTTAATGACTTTTAAATCAATTTTTAAATTCACTAATGTAATAATGTTGATACCAGAGTCAATGCTTATGCATAAAAAGGAGTAATTCAACTCTTAATCATTAATTTATCTAATCAATCGAAACATGATAAGACAAGCTAGTTCTCTCTGAAACAGCTATGCTAAATTGATGACGTATATTCATGAAAAAAGCTGCTTGCCATTTATCAATGTCCCCCTTAATTTTGTGTCTTCTAAACTCTCATATTTTAGGTCTAAACACGTATTTCAGATAATTACTTAATAAATCATCGTAAGTGCTTTCCCCCTTTATCTACTACTACTAATTCCTCTTCTTATTCTAATATTCATGCCAACTTGAAGCAACATTAAAATTAAAAAAATGTATAAAATGTTCAGCTACATTATACATCCTAACAGGTTATATTTCCTGGTCTCTTAAGTAGATATCATAAAGAAAGATACACTCACAAGAAAAAAGAAAAAAATACATCCATTTACTTATTTATGAGCAGAGTTTTCTACTATCAATAAGTTCATCAGAATAGTGGAAATGGACAGACTGTCAGGAAGGAACACTTCTTTCTGACAGAAGTGCTGGCAAGGTTGCGACAGCTTGTCACAACCAGAACCAGAAAGGGTTAAAAGTGGAGACCAAGAGCACAGCTGCTTTTGCACACCCACAGGGTTTTACCTTTGCCGTTCAACTGATCACACAAAAAGATGTTTAGGGAAAGGTCAAGTCTTGACTGAATATTTGTAGATAAATGTTTTCCTTGTCTTTATTCCTTATTTAGGAATAAAATTTGTAAAACAAGCGCACAACAGTGTGGCGATCATACTGTATTGTTTAGGAAATAAAGACAAGGTAAAAATCATATTGTGTTATGCAATGTAAGTCATTATTCCTGGGATGTATATAATGTCAGGAAGCCACACAAAGGCAAGGAAGGACAACAGACAGGACAGACATTCAAAACAACGACCTAACCTCAGGCTTCTGGAGTGTTCAAGGCCACCAGCAGCACTAGTAGTCTTTGAGGATGATTTTGTGAGCTGTTAATTCTGCTGTGGAGAAGCCAGCCCCTACGAAACCCATCCTTGTAAGAATTGGTAGAAAAGCTTATGTAGAAACTTCTTTTAAAGTAGAGCTGCAGTTTGTGTGAGTGGTGTTAATCTTCTAGTCTAAACCTCATCCAGACACATGAGACGGTGAAGCAGGGCCACACACAGGGTTATAAAGAATATCTCTCGCACCACACCAAACCATCTGGATCTGCAGCCCCGGCTCTCAGTATCCTCTGTGCTGGGCCTTTCTGGGCGAGCTGTCCATCTGTAAAGTGGAGATGATAACAGAACCACGTTTGGGTTGACATATTCGTTATATTAACATCATGCTGATTAACAGTAATATTTTAATTATTAACTGATTCCTCTCATATAAGGCTAGATTAAACATGTGGGAGGAGGAGGGATCTTTAAAATAGAGGAGGCTGGAGAGAACTAAAAAAAATACTCCTGATTAATCTCTGTGCCTAAGATGCTTTTGATATGAAGCTCAACTTCATGTAAATAGAAAGTTATCAGTGCTACGCTTTTTTTTAAATAGAGGATAAACAGTGACTGCTTTCCAAGATGAGTCTGCCTGGTTCCTTTGAAGGGGTTTAGCACTATGGGGGTGCTAATTCATATTCCCCTAAGGGATGGGAACAGGCATACGAGACTGAAACAGAATGAAAATGATAAAATTTTAATGAAAGGGATCTCATTAGATTGAAAGTTTATGAGAGGTGATCTAGGAAAATTTCTTCCCAGTTAAATAAAAAGGAAACCATATACACTGTGTGCCAGGAAACTTCAGAGACTTTTCCTAAGTGCTAGTTTAGTCCTCAATAACCTGGGTAGAGCTTATTCTAAAAATAACTAGAATAGCTGCCACCCAGCAATCCCTAGAAGGAATTCCTTCAGACAAGGAGCTGCAGGGGTGGGAGGCAATGCCAACGAAAGCACACAACAGGAAGGGCTGTTTTGGAGGACTAGGAAATTCCTAATTCCACCTGCTAGCTGTACGGCCCTGGGTGGGGAAGCAGATACCTTCCATCGTAAGCTCTGGGGCACTCATGTAAGGTAAGCATAAGTGTAACCCTAACCCATGGCTGCTGTGTGGACAGAATAAACAAATGTAGGCAGAAGCGCAAGCACGCAGTAAGCATTATCTATGATCACCAGGACATCTGTATCAAGAGACTGGAGTATGCTGTCCCGTGCCGACTCTGCCAGCCAACCTCTGGGGTGCTGTGAAACTCGTAATCCAGGCACTAACACCCAGGTTCATTTAGGCAGGTCTCTTGTATTAATCTTTTTCATTGCTGTGACAAAATATCTGAAGAATTTCACTTCAGGAATGGTTGATTTTGGCTCAGTTTGAGTGAATGCAGTCCATCCCGGTGGAGAAGACATGGCGGCAAGAATGTGCGGTCAGGAAGCAGGCCTCCCTTTTCCTTATGCATTCAGTCTTGGACCCTTGTCTTCAGACCTTTCTCCTGTTAAATCTCTTTGGAAATATCCTGACACACCCACCTGGCGATGTGTCCTCTAGGCAATTCCAAATCTACACAAACTGACCACTGGGGCTGACCATCACATTTCACGACCTAAGCTGGTCAGAAACTTGCAATCTTCCTACTTCCAGCCTCTGAGTGGTGAGATTTCAAGAATTCTCCAGCATTCCCCAGCCTGAGACTAGCTTACCCGGCTGGAGGTCGACAGGAAGTCTGGGACAGGAACTGCAGCCCTGCAGTAGCCTCTCAAGGTAGATTATTATCTCATGACAGATGGCCATGGAGTTTCCGCAAAGAGCAGCAAGCAAAGTACTAGGCTCCCAGGAGTCATCGCGAGGCCCTTGAGGGACGATGAGTCAAAGTCCATTTCTGTGGGGAAAGCATGAGCGCTGTGTCCCTTCTTCACTGATTGGAGCGATGAACACTGTGTCCACTCTTCACTACTTGGACAGACAGAAGGGAACTCGGAGGGAACAGAACTTGTAGAACTGAGAGATAAGGGTTCCGCAGGATACTAGACCTGAGGATCTGGAGTTTGACCGTCACACAGTGAAATAAAAAGTCTTGTGATGGAGTTGTGACAGAAAGTAGTTATGCTGATGGAAAACGGAGGCCTGATGGCTAGGCCATGTGACAGGGAGCAAGAACTGAGGCTTACAAGGATGCCTGAGGAGCTTCTCAATGGAGTTCATTCTGTGATGCTGTAACATACAGCACAGGCTTGGTCCTTTACAGTGAACAGAACTGTATTGGTTTGCACTGTGGTATAACTCAGGGGTAGTGTGCTCACCTAGAATGGGCAAGGCCCTGGGTTCATTCCCCAGTACTGCAGAATGATAAATCTCTATCATCTATCTATCTGTCTGTCTGTCTTTCTGTATACACACTTATATATGTTTACACAGGCTTGTGGAGTCTAAGAATGTCAGCATGTGGTTAGAGCCCTCTTGTTGCCTCATTTCAAGGCAGAAGAAGAGAAGGAAAGAGGAAGGAGCTGAGCTTGGCCTTTGATAACCCACTTTTAAGCTAGGAGCATTAACTCCACAGAAGCCTTCCCAAGGGTCCTACTCCAAGATGTTTACCTCCCAATACTACATAACAGCAGTCAAATTTCAACATGCACTTTGGAAGGGACATAAGTACAAGCCATGGCATTCTGTGTCTGGTGGAAGGCTGGAGATCACGAGTAGGTGGAGCTGAGGTTTTTTTCCCCCCTCATATAAACACAGATCCCTAGAAACTCCCTACGGATTCCAAGCTGGGAACTCCTACAGTAGAGCTGGGGCTGCCAGCACTGTAGGCTTTGAAATGTCAACTCTCCTACATTCTAAATCAGTGTGTTTGCTGTTTGTTTTCCTACTCTACTCCACAATGTCTGGGGCTATACAGACGTTTTAACGCACTTTTCTTTCTGTTCCTGAGGATTCTTGGGCTATTTTTATACTAGGATAATCTCAAAACTTCCGAAACTATGTATTATTGAAAAGCTTTTCAACAATCGCTAGTTACTTGTGCAGTTTTCTTGGTACACAGCGTTTCTTCTCTTTTTAAGTGATACTATTCTTACAGGCAATGAACAAATGGCTGCAATAGCATAAAATATTTAATGCATAAAATAAAATTTAAAATGAATGTGAAAGTCCTAAAGATTTCAAAATAGGAATAATCATTTCAAGGTGGCTGTAGTTTTATTATTGGGAAAATATTAAATTGAATTAATGAATACTAATCAATATTTTATATTCACTTATAGTATTTATTATGAAACTGTGAACGTATTATCTCTTCTTTATTTTTTTTTCATTTAGTAATGTCAGAGCCAGGTATGCTGGTACATAACTTTAATCCTAGCACTTGGGAGGCAGAGGTGAGTGGATCTCTGTGAATTGAAAGCCATGCTGGTCTACATACTGAGTTCCAGCCTAGGCAAAGCTACACAGTGAGACCCTGTCTCTAACCAACCAGCCAACCAACTAATAACAACCCTCCCCCCAAAAAGAATATTGGGCTGCCAGAAGTCATATGACAAACCTCACCTTGAACCTACCCGGGAAATGATTTCAGTTTTCAAACTGTCTTTGTAAGTTGCACATTCTTAGAAATGGTGGAGATATTTTACTCCATCTGAATAACAATGAACTCTATGATTTATGACTCTAAAAGCTTCATGATTCGATTTATGAAAAGCTCTTAAAATCCCTACCAGCAGTTCCTACAACTGTGTGTAAATTATCTGGCCAAATGATTCAGTATTTTGCTGCATGACTCAATCCTCTGTGCAATGTGGAAGCTACATAAATGCGTTCTGGTTGCTTGTGGATAATAATAATTCCTTCCTAAAAAGTGTCTGCGGAGTATTATAGTGTAGATGAGTTCCAGTATTCTGGTGTTTTTGAGCTACCAAACTATGGACATTTTTTGAACTCTGTAAGTTCAGACACAGTTTTTTTTCTCCACAGTATTATTATGGATCTTGATACTGTTAAGAGTACAATCTAAAGTGACTCTATTAGAAACATTTTCTCTTATAATAATGCCTTTATGTTATTTTTAAATGTTTATATTATACTAATATATGTATGAAGTCCTTTTGAGAGCATATTTGCTGAAAAGAACATTTGATATTGCTGAAAATGACAACTGATTTCCCTTCCCAAACTCTTATCAAATGTGAGCCATTGCACAATCGCCTTCATGATTCTGGTAACTAGAAATCACCAGGTAGTCAAGATCACATTATTCCAACTAGATTCTTTCCAATGATGTAAATTTTTTTCCTTTCACTATAAGCATATGAAAGAGATTTCACCTAAGAACAAGTAGATTACTTGTCCAATGCGATTTATAAATAATACACTGCTAGCTAGAGTAATTCTTATGCATTTTTGTTTGTTTTCAAGGAGGCAATATTTGAAGGCATTATACTTTTACCAACTGGGTAATTTACAAGTCTTGACTACACCCCAAGGCATCCCATATTATCTTTTTTTTTTGGGGGGGGGGTTCCAAGACAGGTTTCTCTGAGTAGCCTTGGCTATCCTGGAGCTAGCTCTGTAGATCAGGTAGGCCTCTCAGAGATTTGATTGCCCGTGCCTCTCAAGTGCTGGGATTAAAGGCACGTGCCACCACTGTCCAGCTTATCTTTTAAATTTTTATTTTCAAATTATGTGTATATTTGTGTGCCTCTGTGAACATGAGTTCTGGTGCCCTCGGAAGCCAGAGACATCGAATCTGTTCTGGAGCTAGAGTTCCGGGTGGTTACGGGCCACTAGGAATTGAACTCATGTCCTTTGTAAGAGCAGTCTGTGTTTTAACTGCTGAGCCATCTCTCCAGTCCCCATAGCCTTTTATTACTATATTGTTGTGTGTGTACATGTGTGTGCATGATGTGCACATGTGTGGGCGTAGATGGGGGCGTGTATCACATGTGGGCAAAGGAAAGAGCTATGAAGACAGGGCTCCCCTTCTACCTTATGTTGACTCTGAGGGTTGAATTTAGGTCACACGGGCAAGCATTTTACCTGCTGAGCCATCTTACTGGCCGTCACATTTTTTAAAAAAATTTGTTTAAATTTGAGATTATAATATAATTACTTCATTTTCCCCTTTCATTCCTCCAGCCAAACCCCTCCTTGCTCTCATTCAAATTCATGCCTTTTATCATTCATTATTGTTACATGCATGTATAAATGTACATGTATATACAGATACATTTCTATATATAATCTGCTCAGTCTGTGCAATGCTACTTGTGTTTATGTTTGTAGGGCCA